TTCCAGTGCTTACACTATATTTTGATCTAGTAAATAGGGTGAGATAACTCAGTATTTCTAACAGATAAAATGAAGCTACTGCACTGAAAAACATTTAAAAAAAAAACAAAAAAACAAACAAACAAAAAAAAACAAAACTACCTGTAACTTAAATTACCCATCTTAAGTGGACTCTGCAGACATCTACTGTCCTGTGTGACCCTTTGCTGGCAGTAAGCATATGCTTTTTGTTAAGAGATGGTTTCATGATCAAGCTAATGAACACTTCACGTCTGCTACTCCTAATCTATGGGCTTCAGAAGTGTTATTGTCCTACATTTGTCAGTTGGTTACTTGCAACATTATCCATAAAGCAATCTTCCTTAAATACAAACAGATTTATTTGGTACTTTGAAACAAATGAAGAAAAATCTCAAAATGTAGGGATTTGAATATATATATATAATAATACACATGCATGTATATATGTACATTAAAAAAAGGAAAAAACAGCATACTTCTCCATTCTCAAACTGTGAGTATGGTTTCTTTCTTCGTCATATCTGTCTACTGTTTACTGCTGATATGTGAAATGAGATTCAGATGAATCAGCTGGCCTTCTCCTTCCTTTATTGGAAACACACCTCTGCAGTCAAAACTACATCTTATGATGCATCTCTTCAGGTTACCAGTATCTGCTTTTTCCATTCTCTCATAGAAAACAATAGCTGAGAGTTTTAGAAATCATCATCTTTTACTGCTCCCCATCCTAATTATATGCATTATCTCAATGTTTACTTAATAATTGAAGTCTTGGAACCTATATCTAGATAAATTGAAGATTGAATCTAAGCAAGCATTTAGCTTTATAAGTGAAATTGTCCAAGACAAGCAGAGAAGGAAAATGAGTCTAGGCACAAAGTTACAAAGATTTAAGTGTGGGATAACCTGAAGCTCTGTGAATAGTCCCATTGACTTCAGAAGGATTACTTATAGTCTGTGAAGTTAAGCAATCTGCGTGACTGCAAAATTGAAACCTTAGATAGACTGTAATTGGATTTTGAAAAAGCTTCAGAAATTGAATACACAGCTATAAATCACGCATCCTCCAAGAGTTATAAATCACCCAAAAGGATGCTTGAAATATAATTATTTTTCTTAGTAGCTCAGCTGTATACAAACTAATGAATAGAATAAGATTAATTTTAAATTATCACAGATCATTAAATGTAAGGTCTCTGAAGCACATTGTATAAGTCACAATATATGAATATTGAAGGCACCCTTTTATTTACTTTCTTGTAAACTAAGATAAGTGCATTACACATGTGACAGAGAGAAGGGAAGCTTATAAAAAATTAAGTTCAGGTGAAGATCAAAGATATGCTTGATAATTAGGATAGGATCAGTATAAAATGAGTACGTTTATTTCCATTGCATCATGCAGATGTTTAGAGAGGACGTACTTTATTATAATTAGCTGTTTCTTTCTTTGGCTTTCCAGGCCAAAGACTCCTGATAAGGAAAAAAAATTGTAGCCATTGGTCAAACTGCTTGTAACAAATCTCATTTTAAATTGAAGCTATTTATTCAGAAACCAATCTACAACTGCAGCAGTAATCAATGTGTTTTCCCTTGGAGTAGAACTGTTTCCGTGCTACCAGAGGACTGTTGTTAATTGCCTGTAACTAAATGATTGCTGTGCTTCTGAACATAGCTCCTTGGCGCTCACTCGTTTGTTGTGTTTAACAGAATGCTTGTCCCCCTAAGAGTTGGCCAAGTAATTTTCCTCTACTACTTTCTACATTCAGTCTTGGCTCCTTAAGGATGGCAAGGTCTGTAATTTGAGCAACGTAACACAGAGGTTAAATGGGTTTTAAAAGGTTTGCTCTTTTTGTCTCTCCCCTCTGATGTGGTATTGTGCCACAGAAGAGGCACAGAAGAAACTGAACCTTTTTAGCATCCATCCACTACGAGAAACCTACGTTTAAGCAGGAAAAGCAGATCAAAGGCAGTGAAGTGCCTGCTGTAGCAGTCATACTTAAATTGCAAAGCTAAAGACAGAATAAGGCAGCACCAAAAAAAAATCATATTATTACAAAGGCAGCCTCACACTCTGTCCTTGCTATGACATGTTTACTACGCTCCTGCTCTCATGCACATCACCGTCACAAGGCACCATTCAGGAATAACCTCTCCCAGGAAGGAGTCCAGGTACTCCTTCCCACTTCACACAAGGAAATCCAAGACACAGGAAGGTGAAATGATGGCAGCCATCTGAGGGGCCAACACTAATGGCTGGACTGAGCCTGCTGCTTCTGACACCTTCAATTCTGAGTAGCATACAGTGATGCTCTTCAAAAAAATCCTGACGTATATGGCTAGCTTCCCTGTACAGTTTAGCAACCTGGGGGAAACACTAGCTCAAGGCTTGAAAGCACACAGTTGCATGCAGCACTGTGCCCAGGCTAATCTGTGCTGCTCTTCACAGCGCCATGCAGATGGGGCTGTACCAGCTTTGGGCCTTTAGGGGCTGGCTTAGGCATTGGCACAGTGGGATGTGAGAATACAGCAGACTGCTGGGCTAATTACTGTGTCTCTGCCTCAGGGCCTGATAAACATCACTCGAGACAGAGGGCGAGGATGTGCTGATAAACATAGCTCAGCATGGATGAAAATACCAGCTTTCTGTGCACAAAGGGTATAGCAAGAAACTGACTTTGCAAACAAATCTGTTTAAGAAAGACCCTTCTTATCCTTCTTGTGCTCATCAATGACTATGGTGGCGGCAGATAAAAAGGAAATTTCTAGAAACTTTTTAGGGTGAATTGAGGAGTTTGTTTCATGCTTGCTTATCTAGCAGGTTTAGGGTAGGCTCATCTGTGTTCAGATTATCAAAGAAAGTATACCAGAATAGTCTTGAATTATTTTATGGGTAAAAAAGCACCTGGGAGGGCCTCTCTTATAGCAAAATGGATGTGGTCCATTTATTTGATTTCATGCACAGGGTTAAAGAATGAGTAACTACTTGCAGTTATTTTTTTCATCTAATCTCAAAATCATTAATTTAGCAAAAACTTCTGTTTTCCAGCTGTAAAGTTTCCCCTCTCTTTCAGTGAGTCATAACAGCAGGCACATAAAGAGAGTATTTGGTACCTAGCAACCCAACACATTAAAAACCCTTTCTCCTGGTCCCTACTGAACAGCTGCAACACCTGTAGTACAAAATGATAAACAGGCTATAGTAAGCCCTGAGTAATTTCCATTTCCATTGATATTGTAAAATACTGTCTTACTTGTCTGTGCAAACAATTTTTTTGTTGGCTGTTTTTAATAACATTCCCCTCTCTGGACCAGAAGAGTATTAAAAATTATTTAACACAAAGGAGTTTCCAGCACAGTTTTGGAAAGAATGACACAGGACGTAAATACTCTTTTATTTTATTTTATTACACTTTTAGAGTCTTCTAGAGAGCAATGAAATCTTCTTACAGTCACTTCAAAATAATAAAAAAGTGTGTGATTCTCAATAGATGTAGTCAAAATAAATGGAATTCTCACATTTTTCTATAAGCTTTTATTTCTCTAATTGAATCATATTGTGTCAAGTCTACATAACCACTAAATAAATAAATAAATAAATAAATAAATAAATAAATAAATAAATAAAAATTAAGCCTGTTAGTTGGTTACATCAGGGCTATAGTGCTTTGTTCAGACAGATGCTGCCCACTGGAAGAGGATGGTGTGAAAGCAACATGGAGCTGAGCTGAAGCAAAACTGTATGACTTGGATTTCCAAGATTTGACTTCTTGGCATTCCTTAGCACTGAGCAGTGTTGGAAAAATACTGTAAGATTGTAAGGTTGTAAGAGATGCCATTTATTACTTAGTTCAAATTACAACATTGCTAACAACATTCCCACACTTTTTGTTTGTTGCCAGTTGTCAGTTTCCTATTGATAACCAAAGTAAAAACAAAATGGATGTCATGAAGCTGTTTAAGTTTCCTTGAGCATGCCATGGTTTAGACGGGAAGAATTGAAGGTGAAGCATTACTTATTCCCTGATAAGTGACTCTACTGAAGAGGTTACTGTTAGATGTGGCTACATTTGACCAGAGTCCTCATCCTTAGGAACAGAGCTACATGGCATGATCTCAGTCATGTCAATCTCCAGCCCAGAGTGCAGCAAAGGGACCGGGGGTGCCCATGTTCTGAATGATGATGTCAGAACTGACAAATTGGGATGATTTGAAATGACTAAACGTAAACCAACCCTGCTTGTGGAAAGAGAAGAGAATAAAGATGAGTTGCAGATCATTGGGAAACTGTGTCAAAGCTTTTAGCAGATATCTGAGATGTGTGGTTTTGGATTTCCTAGGATAATTTATCTTCACATCCCTCAAGCTGTTTTTCTCTTTGCTTTCTGTTTATTTGTTTGCTTGTTTTTCTTCTGGGAAAAAAAAAAATCCCTAGTTTGATCTTAGCCAGTAGACTGAAATTCATCCAAAACCTGAGCTTTTTCTTATTTATGTGTGGAATAAGGGAGGGGATATGTTTTCATTATGCCATGCCCTCCCCACTCTCCCCCCCAAAAAGAAATTCACTTCTGCTTTCACTGTAAATGGCACGTCAATGTTTATGTTCATAAAATGAATTGTAGTGTATCTGCAGGGAGAGAGATGGACGAGGGTTATCAAATCTCTCTTGTATGTATGCATACTCGCATACATATTCCAGCATCTGTTGTTTTACATAAGAGCAGTTTAGATACTGCACCAAAGGAAAAATTATGTTAATAAAGAAAACACATTCCTAGGTATTTTTTTGCACAGGATCTTCAAATTTAAAAATAAAATAAAATAAAATAAAATAAAATAAAATAAAATAAAATAAAATAAAATAAAATAAAATAAAATATCACTCATTTTATATTAGTAATTAACCTAAATATGAAGTCTGCTGTTAATCTTTTCTGTTTTGGAATGTGGCTATTATTGTATTTTGTAATTCTTTGCAGAGCTGATGTATACAGTTGAGCTTGCTGGTGGGCTTGGTGCTATTCTGCTGCTGCTTGTTTGTTTAGTGACTATCTACAAGTGTTACAAGATAGAGATTATGCTCTTCTACAGGAATCATTTTGGAGCTGAAGAACTAGATGGAGGTAAGGCAGCTTTTCAGTATGTTTCTTACCTTCTAAATATGTCTATTTCTCTCCATTAAGACCCAAATTTAATTTCAGTTCAAGATGTGTTAACAACTGCAATTTTTATTTCCCACTGCATTAGGCACTGACTTTAATACACATTCCTCATACAGCACATTAGCAGCAATGACTATTCAGCTGGTGTTTGTGCTGCCTTCTGGCTCTCAAGGTGACACGTGTGTCTTTTAGATCCGTGCTTCCATGCTCCCAACACCACATGAAAGTTACCAACACTGAGGCTTGCAAGGCTGTTCCCTTTTGTCAGTGCTGAAAGCCAGCTTCACCTCCTCTTAAGCATGGAAGTGTCCTCAGTAATTGTATTTCCCTGATAGGCAGAGGTTGAACAGAATACTGCTTGTTTAAATGGATCAGTTTCAATAAACTGTGCTGAGTGTTTGGGAGCACACCCAACAGTCCATTTTCCTGAGTTCATTTACTTAATCACTTGGAGATTGGCTAATGGTCATTAATGCTGTTTTGTGGTTCAAGGAAAGCCAGCTTTAACAAAAGTAGTCTGCAGTGTATGCTCTGGACTGTGTCAAATGTATACATGTGTTTTCTTTTCTTCTGTTTTTAAGAAACAAAGAAGGTCTTCTCTGCACACTAATAAAACTGCTGCTGGACAGCAAACCCAGTTGAGCTTCAGGTTCTGATTAATTAGATTTGGTTTCTTGGGTCAGAGTTCTTGATGTTTTGTGCTACCGCTACATCTTTGATGACAGAACCTTCCTTTTTACTGAAATACTGCTGAAAGTTATATTACTGTTCAAGGTAATAGCCTGTGGATAGCATCTATATGTGACATACTTTAAGAAATAGATACTGCACTGGCCAGATCTGTCACTGATACAGGATGAGAGTGGCAGCAAAATTAAAGGTCTCTGCGTAAGGGAAAGCCTTCCATATTAAGATCACTGGGGAATGACCCATTTTTGCCTCCAATCTAAAAATGCATGAGAATTCAAAATAGAAAATGCTCAGAACAACAAAATGCTGCAGAACATTAGAACATTTTGTATCCTACTAGACTGACGAAAAGGATGTGTATTAGTGCAACTCAGTGGGGAAAAAATAATCACAACAGGTTACTTATTTTACAGAAAAGGAAACTGTGGCCCATGACTATGATTCATGAAATATTTTGACATACTCTACTTTTTTTCAGAAGCCAAGATCCTCCTCATTCAAAATGCAACCCACAGTTCATAGAAGCATGCTTACTTGCATGTATGAATTCAATAATAATCATATCATATGATGAAAGAAGAAACATCTGGTTTAGTAATTATTTAAATAGTTGCAATTTAATGTTTTTTCTCTGTTGCAGTAATTCTTACTTTTACAGCTGTCAATTATTGGTACTTCAAATCTCTCCAATTAATTTGCAGACTTACTCTTAGCAAGTGTTACAAACCTGTCTCTCTCTCCTCTTACCCTTTACATCAGTGCCCTAGGGATGGAAATGCTTTAATCATCCATTTTATGTAACAAAATTTTAGTTTTTAAACTGTACTATTCTGGAATACAAGAGAAAGAAAAATAACATCAGTTTGTTTTACTGAGCCAATTTAATTTAATTTACAGGATAAAACTTAGATTCTCCTTACACGCTCAATGCTGATGCATTGTTTGAATGCTTAATTGAAGTAACAAATCAGGAGGAATACTACTTGCAGATTCTTATAACAGAATACTGCAGCTTCTACCGTACTCAGTATAGTATATATACTAGCAACATGGACAAAACCTACTGTGAGAACGAAGATACTGCAGCTGTACTTCTGCTCTGTCTCTCTCACCTGTGCTCTTGCAGAATTAAGAAGATGGAGAGAAAATGCCCCAAAGGAGGCCAAACCATGGATTGTGTGGAGATAAATTGCAGACATAAATTCAGGTCCTTTCCCTTGGCTTCGCCTCTTACTGAAAGACACAAAATGCTGAACTGTAAAATCTTTTTCTGACCTGAACTCCTGAAGCGCCACAGCCAAGTGTCTACATGCTATTCATCATTTACATCATGAGCTGGCATACTTCAGGATAGCACGTAGATAAGCAAACATCAAAATGGCACAGGCTTTTGTGTTCACTGTGGTGTATCCAGAGAGAATTTGAAACACTGTAGAAGTGAAGTCCAATTGAAATTTTCCTTTAAAAATTGTTATCAAATGCAATGCTTCATTTCTAAACAAGGCTTTCAGGATGTTGAATCTCATCACAGTTCCTCTTTCTTTTCCTTAGAAACTAGTTTTTCTCATGCATATTTCTGTGGGAGGCATGGGAATTCTGAGAAATAGTTGAAAACAAAGTATTTAACCATCGAAACTGAATTTATTACTTTCTCTGAGAGTGATGGAGAGTAAACAAGCATTCTCAGATACCGATTCCTCATTTCCCTAACTTGCATCCTGGAATTTCCCATTTTCTCTCATCTCAGTGACTCTGTTTTCCTCTTTTTCTCTCTCCAGCAAACACTTCAGCTCAGCCTTGTCTTCTGGGAAAGCCCTCTTTTTTCCCTCAGTTAACTCCCTTTTCTGCTGAAGTAAAACATACTCAAATAAACACTGTGTTCTGGAGTTTGGTTAGTGGACTTCATCACTAATGTCTGACATATCTCCCTGGAAAATGGAGCACTGGCAAAGCTCTCTGACCTATGGCAAAGCAACTTTCCCACATGAAGTTGCTTGGCATGCCTTGCCTCTCAGAGAGACAGCTCATCCCTATCAGTGAAGTAGTCTGAAATCCCCAAACCTGTTTGACCAGCAAATCAATTTAAGATCTGACAGAATACATAATGAAGATGATACCCTGTTCAATAATACTCTGAAAACAACAAAATTTTCAGAAATAGATGTTCAGTGGGAACTTCTGAGGGCTGGTCATTGTTAAATGGCAGGCAGGCATCCTTTCTGAGTTTAAGACTCTAAATTTAGAAGTTTATTTTAAAAAGTCTTGTCTGTAAAATATACTTCAAGTATTAGCATGTTATATTGAAAACTGCTTCAAGAAGTGATGAATTCTTATGTTTTATTGTACGTAGAGCCCTTACATTACAGTTTTATACCACATTCATTCTCTGATGTTTTAGCTGTTGTTATTTTCATTTTTTTTTTTTTCCATGGATCTACTTTGCTGCCTTTCTCAGTTTCAAATGAACTTAATAAACTAAGTGTTATATTTTAAGTAAGAGTTAGGAGAAAAAAAAATGCAAGAAAACATTTGTAATTACTCTGGATCAAGATACACCCTAACTTCTCACACTCTCTGATCTTAAAAGCTTTTTGATATCAGAGGAGATATAGCACTGTATAGAAATCCTCTCTTTGTTTACAAGAGACGTGAAACCCAGGCCTCCTAATATCTATGGAAATTTTCCCAGGGTTTTACCCAGGACAACTTCCTCCTTTGAGAGATTGTTTCTGCCCATGAAATCATGCAGGGATCAGTCTCGAACCAGGACAGCCACCAAGACAAGCAGCAAGGAGAGAAGGGGAGAAAAGGGGCTCAGACCAGAAGCACCCTTTCTGATGCTGCCTTAAAGTGTCCAGGAGACTCCAATTCACCAAAATTTCTATTTTGAAATTTTTCTTGCTATTTCAAGACATGAGAGTTTTCAGTGAATGTTCAGACATCCAAATTCTAGACTTAAGGTATATTGAGAATAAATCCAGAAGGTTAAGAAGTTAGGCTGAAAACTACTTGACATGGTCAGATGGGCAAAATTACTCAAAATCATGAATTTATATGCGTGTTTATATTTCAGGTTCCAATTTCAGAGAAAAGAGCACACAACACATTTATGAGTAGAAAATGCCTGCAGGCACTGGACACTGCCATTTTGGGATACATTAGTAACCACTTAAACTGATTAAAATTTTTGTGTGAAGGAATAAATAAGCACTATCATCAGAAAGAAGAAATTTTGCATGAAGAGGCTGACATTAAAATTGACAAGAACAGAATCGTTTAGAAATTAGAAAGAAGATTGAACAAATGTGCTGTGAACACAGGTCTTTAATAAAAATTCATAAATGTTTCTTGTCACAATCAGTCTGACTAGAAGCCCAGTTTGAGGGTTATGAACAATAACAACAAAAATAAAAATATTCAGCTGATAACTAGAAAGACAGACCTTTGTCTGACAGTTGATTCAACAACCTTCAAAATGTCTCTTAGTGCCTTTAATTCCCACAACTGTTCCTACAGTGTTGGACAGGGCTCTCTCTATGATGTCTTTCACGCTATTCTCAAATTTCCTTACAAAGGAAACATTGGTGAACAGGGGGACTAAGGTCTCAGACTACACATGGCCAGGCTTGGTACGTGGGAATCAAGGCCCTGGAGTTTCTCTGATTTCACTTTTTTTGTTTCCTTTTTTATTTTAATTTATTTTTTTTAGAAGTGTTCCTAAGATTGTTGAGAAGTGTCATTTGTAAGCTCTTTAAATTTAAGAAATCTTCCTTGGATTCAGTATATGACAGCTGTAGTGGTTGTTTCTGGGCTGAGAGTGATGCACTCTATTAAAAATGAGTTTTGTTGTTTTCTGAGAGGAAGCAAATCAATTCTCATTTAGGAAATTGATAAAATGGTTTCTGCCTTGAAATCTCTGTTGCATCTGGGACTCCTTAAGTAGTTGTGATTTTCATCTTTACCATTATATAGCAGCAAAAGACTTTCAGGGCTTACGGACCTATGGGATTGCCTAAAAAAATTCCTTATTCACTGCACAAATTAAGATGAGGTAAAAAACACTTCTCTGTGATTTCCTGTGTTTCACCCCAGTAAACTTCTTGTGAAGCCAAGAAAGAAAATGCTTTGAGATTGTTAATGCTTCAGATGCTGACTTTCAAGTATAGCTTTTTTCAGTGGCCTAGGCACCTGCTAAACTGCTTGTGTTGATGATCACGCTATGCAGGTACAGCTATACTGAAATTACTGCTGAAGTTAGTGACTTTGCAATT